GTACTGGGGAGAAGATATTTCTGAGACCTTGTCGTGGAGTGCTCATGGTCTTTATCCTGGGGGGGATTTGCCCTGCTCCTTTTTCCTGTCGTCAGGTGGCACGCTTTGTGGAGGTGGTGCTGGGATGGGAGGGAGTGGAGATGGCCGTGGGCGGTTCCCCCGAGGCGGACAAGCTGGACGAGCCGGAGCAGCCCACAGCCTCGTCTCTCCTGCACATGGTGAGACCCGGGGGGGGGGGGGGGGCAGGATAGGGGAAGGAGGGAGGGCGTAGAGATGGAGGGAGAAGATACGGTGGGCCCGTGAGGACGCTCGCTCACCGAGTGCACGTCTCTTTTCACAGGAGGTGCTCCGCCTTCTCTGCAGAGATCTGGCTGCCTACGACGCCCGGACGGTAAGCCTGACAGCCGCCCCCCTCGCTTCCCTTTCCCGTGTCTGTCCCTCACGCCCGCCTCTGACCGCCTGCTTCCTACGCTCCAGGAGGTCGACGACGGCGTCTACGTCCAGGACATTGTGCTGATGCCGAAGGCAGCCGGTGGCTTGGGCGCCAAGCACTCCCTGCCCCCTCCCCTCCCCGTCATCGTGGAGGTGGATGGCCCCCCCCACTTCTTCAACAATGTGCCTCGCCGGTCCCGGGGGGACCACAAGCTCAAGGTGGGTAGGGGGCGGCGAGGGAACAGGAAAGTGGCACATAATGCGGGGAGAGGACGCAGGAGAGGGATAAACGAGGGAATCACCGAGAGACAAGCGATTCGGGCGGTTTGTATCGTGCGCTCTCTGCGCGACCATTCTTCCCACACGTTCCCTCCTCCCTTCTTTCCTCGACGCCCCTCTCGCGCGCCCGCCCAGGCCCGCATCCTCGAGGCGCAGACGGGCAAGAAAAACGGCGGCGTGGTGAGTGTGACCTGGTGGGAATGGGTGTGTCGCACGCGGAGGCAGCGGACCAGGATGATGGTGCGAAAACTCGTGGAGGTGGGCGTGACCGATCCCTCCTTGTACTTGAGGGGCGTTGCGGCGCTATCTTCCGAAGGTGAGGAGACGAAGAGAAGAGGGTAGAGACAGGAGGCAAATGTCGAGAGGGACAGGGACGGGGGTATCAAGAGGGATTAATCATCACTCGGGTGCACTAGAGCGAAATGCCGCCACAAGCCTCTCTCGGTCTGTCATCCTTCATTTCTCCCTTCACGTAAGTGACCCTTCATCACTCATCTTTCTTCAATAATCCATCAACAGAGGAGGGGGAGGAGGAAAATGAAGAGTTTGTGGAGGCATTGAGCTTCGAGGGCGAAGACGACGAAGGGGAGTGGATGAGGTACGACAGCCCCCCATCAAGGGCAATAGAGGAGAGTAGGTCACGGTTGTTGACAACCCTAACCCAAACCTTACGGAAGGGAAAAAAAATGCGTGATGTAGAAAATGGGATAGTGCAAAGGAAAGGAATCTTTGGGTGACCAATCCAATCGCCGCTGCTCGACCCTCACCCCTCACCTTTGTCCTTTCCCCCTCTTCCAGCTACAGCGATGACGAGAACGATGAGGACAGTGAAGCTGCAGCTGGCGGGCTCATCCAAGCCAAAGCTCGATCTCTCCTCCAGCAAAAACAAGAGAGGCCTCAGTCGATGATTATCTGGGGTAGGGAAGATGGCGGACACGTCTACAACGCGCCATCGTCCGCCAGGCTCTCATTGGAAGGGTTAGGAGCTCGCATCGAAAGCGATGAGGAATCTTTCTTGTGGTCGCTCACAGTGCCGGAACTGAAGGCAAAATTGAGGGAGAAATGCCTTCCGGTCTCTGGGGTAAAGGCGGCCTTGGTGTCGCGTCTGATGGATATTTTGGAGGCAGTGGAAGAAGGAGGGAAATAGGGGACATCGCGATCAAATCGAACGCAATCAGAAATATGTAAGGGGAGCAAAATGTACAGTGTACAAGGAGTAGGTACTATAGAAATATAACGACACGTATCAACATCGGAAAAATGAAATGAGGCGACTCTTTGTCCCGTCCCAGTTTTGAAACCTGTGATCTAGTGGCGACGGAAGGTGACGTAGTGACGGTGGTCTCGCGTGTTGACATGCCCATACTGACAGAAGTGCCTCCCCTGTTCGACCGGCGAGAATTGTTCTTCGCTTTTCTCAGGCGGCGTTGTCGATAGATACAAGGCGACGGTATCGAGTATTTTACAAATGGCAACGCGCTACGTAGCTGTAGTCTCCAGCGGATCTGTATTCATTTCGTCCTCGGTCGGACCATGACAATTAGGGGAAGAGGAGTCACAATCCAGCATTAGCCGGCATCAGAGACTCCAGCACCGTGGAGTGATCGCATGGATCCCGTAGTGTAAGGGACGGTGGACGATCCTGCATAAGAAGATGTTATATCAGCCGAGGATCAAGGTTCTCTGACTTCTTTCTGGCACCTCAGTACCTTGGAAAACAAATGCATGCTACACGAGGACCAAGATGCCAGCCTTCAAAGCATTTGAAAGCTTCTCACAAAGAGTGAAACCACTTACGCTGCATAGTGAAGATAAAATAAAATAAATTCAGCCAACAGATGGTTACGTACTCAATTCGATTTTTTTTTTCTTTGTCTCGCAAGCTCGAATTGCGGTCTTTGGGGTTTACCAACGCACAACTTTCACCACCTTTTCGGGATGTCGATTGTTCCTGATGCGTTTCTTGTCAAATTTTCACCTGACCGTTCTTTAAACAGGGCAATACAACGGCAATAAAACAACGAGAATTAGTGTCCTACTTCCTCAGCCATCGATTTCACTGTTATCCTCCTCTGCCGCTAAAGTCGATTAAAATTATCGTCGCCAGGGCGCTTGATACGGCTGTTGAGACGGATAATGTGATTGCTGTGGCTGCTGTGGCTGCTGCTGTGCCGGCTGATACTGAGGTTGCGCTGATGGTTGTTGCCAAGTTCCCCACGACTGCTGCGGCTGTGGCTGCTCTCGAACCTGCTGCTGTTGCTGCGACTGCTGCTGCAAGAAAGAAGAGAGGTATCCCAGAGGTTGGTTTTCTTCGCTCGTGCGTCCAGATGCCTCTTGTCCTCGCCCATCCGACAAGTTTCCAAGAAGGCCCAGCCCCCACGGCTGCGGCTGCTGACTTTGCACCGGGGGTGGGGGGGGAGGAGGGGGCGGAGGAAGAGGGCTCGAGAAAGACCGAAGCGACTGTGTTTGCTGTTGCGGTTGCTGCTGATGTTGCTGCGGCGTCTCCTGCTGCTGGTGGTAGGCGCGAAGCATCTGTTGGGCGGTGCCTGGGTCGACGGCAGTGGCGACTGACTTGGGAAGCCCCAAGAGGGTCATCAGCTGGGAGACCGAAGCGTCTACAGGTGCCACCGGTGGATTCGGAGGGGCTGCCGGGGCGGTGAGTTGCGGGGGCGGGGGCTGAGACTGCGACGCTTGATAAGCCTGGGTGGGGTATGCCGCGCTGTATCCCCCAGGCGGGTAGGAGGTGGGATGTGGTTGAGGTTGAGCTTGGTGGCCAGACGATCCCCCGGGCTGGGGTTGAAGGGGATCATAGCTTTGAGAATAGCTGGTAGAGTACGCGGTGGAGGACGGCGCTGCGGTCGCCGGCGGTGGAAGGTGAGGTGCCGGTGCTGGAGCATGTCGGGAAGATTCTCGCGAATCGCTGCTGGGCGCGAACGATCGACCTCGATATCCCTCCCAGTCCCTGTCTCTCCGGCCGCGATCTCCCCAGCTCCCTTCACCCCCTTCGTAGTGGTGGCTGCCCTGTCTGTGCCCACTTTCTTTTTGTCTATGCGACTCGAACGCAGGCGCCGACGTACTGGTGGCTCCGCTTGACCGAGAGGAGGGACCAGGCACCAGGGGATGTTGCGGGATGGCGTGACTTGGCCTGGGTGCTGGGGGCGAGGAGGGTGCGGCCGTAGGAGCTGACGCTGACTGGTATTGGCTGTAGGCTGGCGGGACTGTGGAGGGTTGGGGTGAGTACGCATGGGACGCGGAGGGGTAGCCGTGGTAGGACTTGCTGGTAGGAGGGGCATTGGACGGAAAGCCGTGCGAGGACCGTGGGGGGGATTGGCGGTGAGGATGCTGCGGCCCCATGTGCGAGGGCTCATGCTGGGAGGAGGAGGGCGGCGGGGCGGAGGAGGTGATGGGCTTGATCTGTTCAATCGCCTTCGGAGGGGCCCTAGGGGGGGGAAGATGGGAGATGTGTCAATTTACACTCCAAGATCTCCTGTCTCCTGGACCACAACGCACGAACACTAGACAGGCAAGGCTTCCGCCTTTTTACGTTCCTCATCTCCACTTACGATGCCATCCGGTCCAGGAGCTGCTGCTCCACGGCCAGCACGGTGGCCAGGGGCCCCGTCAGCATCACGGGTCGCTCGTCGTAGGTGCGGGTGAAAGAGGTCTCCTCCTGCAAGATCTTCACCAGCACGCCCGACGCGTGCAGCTCCCGGATGAAGGAGCCGCCCTGGCATGCGCGCGTGGGCCGAGGTGAGATCAGAGATCGAGGAAATAGAGATAGCAACCCCCCCGCCCCCGGCCCCCTCCCTCCCTCCCCCATCCACCCACCTTCCCGATGACGTGGCCCATAAGCGGGACGGGCAGTGAAAACTTGATGGTCACCTCCTCCTCCTCCGCCGAGGCCTGCATCCCCAGCTCCTCCGCCGCCGCCTCTGTCAGCGCCCTCTCTGCCCGCTCCTTGCTCTCCTGCATGCGCCAGGCGAAAACCCGCTCCCGCACGATCTCCCGCGCCGCATTGATCTCCTGCTGGCTCCCATCGAGGACGATGGACGTCTCGTTCGAGCCCATTTCCGTGTCACCAATCTAAGGAGAGAGGGATCGAATGAGGAAACCGAAGGGCACGTCTGGGCCCGCCAGAGCGTCGCTTCGCTTCCTCCTCCTTTACTGTCCCCCTACCTTGGCCAACATGACGCGAGCGCCCGTCGTCTCCCGCAGTTCCCGCATCCGCGCGCCTTTGGGGCCCATGAGCATCCCCACAGCGCGCACCGGCACCTTTACCACTACTGCGTCCGGACTGAAGCCCTGGCCGAGCAGGCCGAAGTAGTGCCCGCCCACCTAGAGTGAAGGCGGGGGGGAGGGCGGGAGAGAGGGGGGGGAGGAAAGGTAAGAGGACGGTGGAGTTACGAGGGAGAGCAGGCAGTGAGGGAACTTTTCAAGCACGCGCCGCGTCGTGCAGCCTCTTATTTTGGGTCAAAGTATCACGAGAACGGTCTAAATAATGATCGAGCAAGACGCGCACCTTCTCTCGAATGAGGGCCAGAGCCTTGTCTCGCTCGGCCTTCCGGCCCGTTACGTAGACTGCTCGCTTCTGATGGCGGCTGGGAGGAAGCTCCTCCTCGTGGCCGAGGCGAATGCGAGCGCCCGACTCGCTGCTGATGTGCGCAAGGGTGGCACCCCGTTTGCCTGGAAGCAAGCAAGGGAGGGAGGGAGGGAGGGAGAGAGGGAAAGAGGGAAAGAGAAAGGAACGAGGGAGAGAGATGTGTCAATGCTTGCCAAAACCTAGCCGAGTGAACACTCGCCTGGTACTGCTCAGAAAGCGACACAAGTCCCCGCACCGGCAAGACTGTCTACACCACCCTTCAATCTACCTCGCGCTGTCCCTCCTACCCTCGCCTCCCCCCACTCCGGTCATCCCTACCGATGAGGGCACCGCCCAGCTCGAGCGGAATGCACCATTTGACCGTGACGCGAGGATCTGGGCCTGGAGGAGGGTGAGAGAGAGTGGAAGGGGCGGGGGGGAGGGAGAGGGTTGTTGGAGGGAGAGGTCTTGAGGTGCGCATGACGCGCGGAGGAGGGATATGGCATGAGCGTGGAGAGGGGATCGAGGGTGTGTGAGACTGTGGGGAAAGACGCGTGACGCCCTCGTGTGCAGCGAAAGCAGGCGGAATAGAGCGGAGGACAAGGGGGAAAGGAATGGCAGCCTAGCCCCAGGCTTCAGGAGGGGAGGGAGCGAGGGAGAGAGAGGGGACAGTCGAGGGGTGTATCGGGAATTTAGGTCAGAGGAGAGGCGGCGGGCATGGGTGAAGGGGCTGCGAGTGGGAGAGAGCGCGAGGGGGGGTTGGTCAAGGAAGGTGGGGACGTGAATGAGTGCGTAGCGTACCGGCGAAAAGAGTGTCTTCCAGATTGCCCTCCCGAATGATGCTGTTTCGTCGGTCAATTAGCTTCTGCAGGATGAGAACTTGAGCCTTGGCCACCTTCTACGCGAGCCATACCGCCCAAGGAAGAGCGTAGGGGGGGGATGGGGTTCACAAGGGGGGGGGAAGCATAACGGGGATGAGGATGGTGTCGCACGCAGGGAGTGGACGGGAGAGGAGGAGGAGAGGGATGGAAACGCCGCGGGGCAATGGGTTTGAGAACCGAAGAGGAGAAGTGCGGGAGTGATCCGTGAATGGGCGTGGAGTCTCAGATCCACACATTTTGATAAAAGTAAGCATGGGATAGATGTATATATAAGAGGGTGGAGACATGCTGGAGGGGGCAGACACGGCGGTGAACCGCCCGAGCTCGGGGCGCCAGGGCCTCCACCGGGTGCGAAGGCCAGCCCCGCCGCTCAAGCGTCGTATCCCCATGTACCACCGCTCCCCCCCCCCCTCCTCGTCCACCTGCCCCCGCCTACCTCCCAGGACCCGCTCAGGGTGATGCCTCTGTCGTAACAGCCTTCGCCCATGTCCTTGTAGTCCTGCACCTTCAGCCGCACGTTGTCCGCGCGGCTCACAATCTCCTGACGCGTGGCCCCGGCTGTCGGGGGCGGGGGCAAAGGACGCATGGACGGATCAGAGGAAGGAGGGAGGGAGGGAGGGAGGCAGAGCGTGATCAGGCGTGCTCTAACAGGCGTCACGCGGCCTCCCTGCCCGGGGCCCGACTGCGCGCCCCCGACCCCACAACTCCCATAGGCCACCATCAGACCGTGCCTCGGTTAGGGTTACTCCACCGCTTCTTTCCCCCTCCCTCCTGCACGTACCTCGCCCAATCAGCAAGCCCATGGCCTCATTCGGGACCAAGATCGTCAGCGTGTAGGAGCTCTCGTCCTGTTCCCCCTGTCCCGAGAAGCGCCTCCGACGCCGCTCCTCGCGCAAGTCCGGCTCCCCCAGAGGCCGCTTAGCGCCCGGTGTCTCCGCCTCGGCAGGCCTCGAGGACCACCGCGACGAGGCATGACGGGAACTTTCCTCTTTTTCAGCCTTCCGATCCTGTTCAGTACCCGGCTCCTCCTTTTTCTCCTCCTCTCTTTTCTCCTCCTCCGTCTCCTCCTGTTCCTCCTCCGCCATTACCTTCTCTTCCTCCCCCGCGATCATCTCCTTCTCTTCTCCTTCCTTCTTTTGGCTCTTCGCCGCATCGCACATGCCTACCTGAGCGGCCTGCCCGTCGGTGACCGCGGGGGGGGCACAAACCTCGTTTTCTACAGTAGCGCCTTCTTCTCCGGTCTCGTTCGCTGGGCTCACGGAGAGAGCGGGCGTCGCGCCGGAGGGTTCCGTTGGCTTTTCAGGCTTCGGTTGAGGTTCAATAGCAGGTGGAGCGACATCCTGTGGGTGTGGAAGAGGGAGTGACGGATCGAGCAAAGTGTGGGAGCAAAGGCGGTAAGATGAAGAGGGACGGGATTTTTACGAGTATTTTTCAGGTAACTCGCGCCCAATTTCCCCCACAACCTGAACAGACGAAGTTTTGTCAGCTCGCTAGACTACGAAGGCTTATGACGCGTTTCAAGCTCGACCTGGCGATGCATGTACATAAGAACTACTGACCTCACAGGCGCCGTCCTCCTTGGCCTTCGCCTTATTTTCGGCCCCCACTCCGTTTCCCCGTCCGCGCTTCTTGGAGGTTTCAGGTGCCTGTTCCAGCACATCAGTCACAGCTGTGTTATCTCCTTGAGTGTTCCGGAGGGAGGTGACTGCTTTGGCAGCCTCTTCCGCTACTGCGCTTCCACGGGTGCGCACCATGACTGCACGAGGGCAAGAGGGCAATCCAGACTATCTTTCCTGTCAAGCGTTGGATTGCATGTATGTAAGTTGCGGTCATGGAAAAAGGCGTTGCGATCATGGGGAAACAACATTTTAATGTCGGTAGCTTGGAAAGAAAGGTCATTTTAGTGTACGAGTCGCAGAACCCCCTACCAAAAGTGCCAGCGACAAAGCGATGCTTTCCCCGCTTCGTGTCCCAAGGGCGTACACCACCACACCGCGCACCCGTGCATTTACACATTTCTGACCACAAACAGCCAGCCGTGACAGAAGAGGACATGTAGCGGCGTAGTGGACAACTCCGCAGTGCGAATGGGGCCAGAAAGAGAGAATGCTGCCCGGAGACTCTCTTCACGCGCTCCGCCTCCTCTTACGTTCATGTTGCCGTCACCTCCCGCCTTCGTCTGGCCACCCTCGCAGCATTTTTCACTCCTGAAGTCGCCCTGGCGTCCACCTGCCTCATTAATATCACTTTTGCCACTCATTCTCGGCACGCTTATCCAGTGTCCATTGGACGTTGACTTGTGCTTCTCGTCCCGAGCAAACGCCGTCCCCGTCAGCACTGCATCGACCACGGAAACACTTTTATCGGGTCGTCTCTTTCACAGCGGCACCGATGAGAAAGGGAGCGGTAGGACGGATTTTAAGACATCTTTATCAATAAGAGATGTCGCAATCGGCAGTGCGGGCTCACCTGGAACACCGCATTTTGCTGCTTCATCCTCACTCTCGTCCCTGCCAAGCATCGTGGTTAAAGGAACCTCGTCACCTGTCACTCGCCCAGCACAGTCTGGAATTCCAGCTCTACAGTCCCTTTGCGGCAGTACTGGCGCTTCTTCGGCTACAAGGTCGTCGTTGCTATATTCCTCGTTGCGTGTCATAGGTCAGGGAGCCTCGGGCATCACGTACGTCCTTCCTGCCGACAGCTACGACTCCGATATCACGCTCCCGGGACTTGACATGCAAGAACTGGGTAATAATAAGGATGTGGTGCTCAAAATAGGCACAGGAGATGCGGCTGTGAAGGCTCTGCGGAACGAGGCCTCTCTGCTCCAACGGCTGGCAGACCGCGGCGTCGGGAAGGGGGTAGAGCAGCTGGTAGGATTCGCTGAGTGCCAGATCTCTGCGGACGGGGAGCCATTGCATGCTCGCTATGAGAACGATGCAGACAAGGGTAGCGGCGAGAGCAGCATCCTTCGCCCTGGCAGACAGGCGCGGAGCATGCCTGGGAAGGTCGAGCAGAGGGCTGTGTTAGCAATGCAACCGTACTGGCCCCAGGCCGAGCAAGTGGATCGGATTCAGGGTACGGAGGGTGTAAGGGAGCTTGTTCGCTTGCTGATCAGGGATGTCGCAGTGCAAGGTGGCGTCGTTGTGAGTGATGTACAGGTGCTGGAGTCCGGGGTGGGGGAGGAACCGGCAGCAGATGGGAACCATGGCACTTTCTTATTGATAGATCTCACAGAGGGGATGGTGTTGGTGGAAAACATCGAAGAGAGTCCAGCCGAAAAGAGCCCTGTTGCCAATGCAGCCCTCCGATCATTTCTTGGGGAGGTTGCTTCTTTGGTCGCATACACAGCCGAGGCTCACACAGCGGCTGTTGAGGAGTCGAAAACATGGGGTATGCCTGTCCTGTGCGAGCTTGTCAGAGAGGCGTTTCCAATGGCAGCGGAAGAACTTTAAAGGGGTAGGACAGCAACGCACGAGGCTTGAATATGCCCTTTGCTAGGCCGTTCAGGTCCACAGAATGTGCTTCAAAGCCAAGATGGAGGTATAAAAATGCTCAACACAAGGGTGTCTTATGGTGAGAACTCCGGCTCATGATCTCAGCATTCTTCAGGCAAAGTAATGCACACGCTGACCGACATCTGTCACGAGAAGCTACCTTGCCCTTTCAGAGCGGTTGTTGTTTGTCCTCGTTCGTTTCTCCTTTTGATTGTGCTTTGCTTGCCTTGTTCGTCGGTTATGAGCCCGGTCCAGCAGATCCCATTTCATCCGCGAGAAAAATGACCCCCGTCGTTTGCTAGCGCGAAGCAGCCTTACCCACCCACCCCCACACATCAACTCCGCTTTAAGACGCTTGCAAGAGCTCTTAACTCTCTAATTGGGACATCCAAAAAGACTCGGTGGGGGTCTTTTTGGACTTCTTGGAGTGGTGGGCGGCCCGGCCTAGACCACCAAATCAAATCTTGGCGTCCTAGAAACGACGCCCTTGAAATTTTTCAAATTTTCTTCTTCGTGACAAATCTACGACGCATCTATTTCAGAGAGCTGTCAGTCTCACTAACTGCACAGAGGGCTGTTGTTGCAGCCTGTGTGCAGTCAGATTTTCATCCAAGGGAATTTGAATGTATTACAATGAATATCTCAGCGCTGAGGTGGAAAGCACAAGCGAATAAGCCCGAAGGACGGAGTTCAGGCGGGGTCTCCAAATTGCTGTTCTGCATCTGCATCGAACTTATTGACTCGCAAGCCCACTTAGGGCAAGACAAGCAAAGAGATTACTTCATACACTCGGTAAGTGTCATTTGTTGCATCGGAAATATAAACTTTTGGTCTGTACAAAGGAGATACGAATTCTACTGCTCGGGGAACCTCGACTTATTTTGAAGACCACAGTAGATTCGCTCTGCAGATTCACGCTAGAAGTAAAAATGTGGGTGCGTCCTACTGGACCTTTACCGACCATAATTTCATGTATTGAATCTTGCAATTAAAGCTGTTACACTTTCCTTGGTGAAGGGCATCGTGAGAGAGTCTTTGTCATAGCAGACATTGTCAATACGAAGATTATTCGGTCTTTGCTCAACGCACCCGTGCGTACTTGGTGCAGCTCTCTTTCAGAAGAAATGGTAAACGTAGGATACTCGCCTGTATCCGGTTACTTCGTTGGAGCAAAGGCAAAATAGACTTGTTATGTTATAAATGATGCGAGCTTACGTTCGTGTTGCAAATTACATCCTGGTCGCGTACCCGATAAGCTTGATCGAGCTGAGTTCTCTTTAGTGTACAGGTGCCCCAACATTACCCCATCATGTCTCACTTCTTTACATTTCTTCATCTACATGCAAAGCATAGAATATGACATCTCACTACATCAAAGTGGCTTTTATTCTTTTGGCCATCTTTGCCTTGCAAGTCGAGTCTCAAACCGCCAGACTTCCAGTGCCACAACGATCGCAAGGCCTTAGCGGAGAGCCTTGGCTCCCCAGAAGATTGAAGGAACTCGTACATTCAACCCTAAAGCGATGCGGTAAAACTTGTCAAGATCAACGTGGCTCTTCTTTTCGTGACTATCTTGCCAAACTTGAGAAGTTCCCCGAATATAGTAGGACGGCCTCTGAAGAAACGACGATCAATGTAACACGTGATGATAGTTTTCTTTAGCGTGATTTACTTCTGAAACGACGAAAAAGACAGAGAATCAGCAAGAGAAAGCTCCAGAAACAGCTCCAGCAGTGTGAGGCAAGCATCCAGGAGACGCAGGTCGCCTTGGAGGCCCCGAGACTTCTGTTTGTCCAAATGGCGCAACACTGCACTTTGGAAATGACAGCCGGACGATACTACCTTCGCACTACAGATATGGATCCTGATACCTACGTTTTTGCAGAGATGCCGTCACAATACGCCACTGTCTGGCCTACGAGCTATTTTGTCGGGTACCTTTTTGATGAGTTTTTTCCCATCGATAAGCCCAACGCGGCCTTCACATTTAACGTCTATCGGAACGAGTCCAAGAAATCATTTGAAGGGCCACTCATATCTGTTGTACTGTCGTCACACCGTATTAGTCTCCAAGACGACAACTCGTCGCTTGTCGTCTACGAGCTTGGTCAATCATCGGATCAGGCAGAGACCTCCCCGCTGTCTAATTTCTTTCGGGGAGTGGATCCCACTCAGAATGCGTCGGTGGCGTTTGAGCATTGTTCCATGTTTATTGATCCTGCGGTTGATGACCGTAATATGATGTCAACCGATAGCTACGTGGCTGCGCTGGAGTCCGTCGAGCAAGTTCTAGACGACCTCGAAAGGTCCGCCAATGCTATTGAGCCAGGTCTCGCGGGAGTCGAAGTTTCAAGCACGAATCAAAGCATGTTGGCGACTTTTAGTAGAGTATGGCAGGTCAAAGATAGTGAGAAAAGGATTCAAGGTGATCCTGATTCGAGTGCGTCCTTGAGAAGTGCAGCAGACACGGTCCGTGCGACTGTCCATCTGATCAGACAGTGCAAAGATAGCTCAAATGGCTGTGATGATCGTGCCCTCGCAGCTAGCGTGTCTAACATATTGCTGACCACAGTACCTGTGATAGGGGCCGCGTTCCCCCCAGTGGGCATTGGCGTTTCGTTGATATCATCAATAGGGCATCTCTTGTCCAGTTTGGCCTACGACTTAAGAATGGCGTCGAACAAGGGTGTTTTTCCATCTTTCATCCAAGGGTTCGTGAATACGAAATTCGAAACCTTCGATCTCTTCTTTGACACCGATCTGAGGAAGCTTTTCAGAGACATTTGGCTAATCGACCTTGACAACTTCATCAGGCATTCTGGAAGCATCGGTTATATAATTAAGAAGATGGGACCAGATGGCCAAGCATCCGTGGACAAGGAGGTAAGCTTCTCAAATGCCAAGAGAATCTTTGAATAGAATTTACATATCTGTGTTCTTATCCTATCTATCCTCTTGGGCATCTATTTTCGGGCCTCCAAGTCCTCAACAGTCTTCTTAAACCACACGGATCGACATTGACAGGTTGACAGTTGGTATCATGAATCATTTTCCTCATCATGGAAGTCGATTTATGAGCCCGCTTTGAGGAAAATCGAAGAGAAGTATGCAACTGAATTTGGCCGCAACACGAATGGACGCCGACACAAAGTTAACACATGGATTTCGGAGTCCGAAGGCATGTGCTCGTCGATGTCGGTTGACTTCATCAAAAATGGCAAAAGCCGTTTAGATTATTGTAAAAAAAAGCTCGATGACGGTAGAAGTAGATGGGAGTCTCTGCAAGATTTCACAAAGGCCTACCTTACCATGGCAACGAAGTTGATAAGCTTTGCTTCTCAAAGCATTGTGATTATGCAGACTTCTTCATATTGCGACCCCAAAAAGTATGATCAGAATGTGGTCAATGAGAAATGCAAGTGGAAAAGCACGATGAACAATTTGCTCACTAAAACCTTCGATACCCAAGGCCGTGCCTTATTTCTGTCAAAAGCCATGCAAACGCTTGACACGGAATGCAGCTCTGCAGCAGCCGGATGGCCATTCTCCCAATTCTGCTCCAAGGCAAAATGCGACTACAAATTTGCCCTGATGCTGGAAAAAGATACCTGGGAAAGATGCTTTAAAAACCTGAATGAGGAGGGAAAATATGTAGTTCTGGAAGAGTTTCGGAGTGATAAAACATACATCTATTGTAGTAACCAAGCCCCCTCCCGGAAGGATGGCAACCATATGGAGGCCTTACTGCTTTTGCAGACGGGATCTTCGGGGATTGGTATGTGCAAGGCAATTGCGAAGAAGTTTCAAATTACTTTTTTAATTTCTGGTATGATAATTTGTTTCGAGCGAAGTATGGAGCGGTTCCGAATTTTGGTCTCATACAGGATTTCCCGAAATGTGCGGCGCTTATTAATGATGTTAGTCTCTGGGATCCACATTCGCCGCCTGAAAGATCACTGAAACGCTATCCTTGGCATCTCAAATGCAAGGGGACCCCAGATGCGAACTATCAAATTGGTCCTGACGAGAGCGAGCAAGCTTGCTGGAGGAAATGCTACTACGAGGCGAAATTCAAGCCCACCTTTTTTTTCACTGTGATTGAAACTTTTCCAGGGGTTGAAAATTTATGCTTTTGTCATTTAACGTGGTACGTGATACAACGCGAACTCATGTCATGACTACATATTTATACTCACCTCTTTACGCCTTATTTTTCGTTCTCCCTCCAACGATGCAGTGACATTGAGTACAACCGACAAAGCTTCCTCTTTGCAGCCCTAAAGCCTCCTTCACAGTAGGCCCTTCTTCCTATTGTTCTTTCTCGTCCTCTTTTCTATAAGCGGCAAGGTACGTGTGGTCTTGCGTACGGTTGTCCACCAAGGAACTGTCCCAACCATCCCTTCCTTTCCCTCACTTGTTCTCTGTGATCTCTACACCCGTCAGGATGCGCCATCTGCTATTTAAGTAATCTACAGCGGAAGTATTTGAGACGGTAGGACAGCAAAAAGGAGGCTTTGATATGGCCGAAAGATTTACAAATATGCCTCAAATCCAAGCTACCAGGATAAGAAATCTCGATTACCAGGTTGTCTGATGACAAGTACGTCGGCTTATATTCCCTGTATTTTCCAAGCTTAGTAACGTACAAACAAACCGAATTTATCACTATAAGCTATGTATTCCTTTTCAAATTTGAAATTTTGTACAAAAGCTCGCCCTCCATTGTTGAGCAGCTCTTTCCTGTTCTTTTGCCTCTTTCTTTTATTCTTCAACACATGCGCTTAATATTCAGGAAGTCTAGCCTTCAAATCACCCTCATCGAGATACAAAATTCAATAATTAAAATATAGAGATGAGCCGTTCTGCTTCGACCAATCCCCCCCCTCCTCCACTTTGATTTTTGCTATGAAGCAAGATACAGGCTAAGGAAAGTGCAATAGGAGGACTTCAGGAGTAAACAATGAATAGAAAACAGTCGAAGTGCTCTGGAGCGTGGGCTCGCGCCAGGCTCCGGAATTCGCTGCCTTCACCCTTGGTCTTCCTGGCATGGCCCTTTCATCGTGCGTCGGCTTGCTCTCGCTTAGGACGATTTCATGCCCGCCCACTTCCGTGCCAGGTGCTCTCCGAACGTCAACGGACTCACATGCCCGCCTTCCCCCCTCGTCTCCCCCTTTCCCCCGCAAAGTGTTGTATTCGTGTCCTTTCCCTCCCCTCCCTCCGTCCCGCCTCTCCTCGCGCAACCCCTCCCGCCCCGCAGCCGGCATGGATGTATCGTAGGAGGGGTAGAAAAAGAATACGAGAGAGGTCCGATCCCGGCTCGGGGAGAGTGTCACCCTGTGGACAGGTGAATGGAAGGGCCGTCTCCCTCTTTCGCTCGCTCCCTCCCTTCCTCCCTCCCTCCGTCCTCCTGCCCGGGCTTTGCCCTCAGCCACTAATCTCTCCGAAAGCATGGCTAGGAAATCCCCGCAGTTCACGATCAAAGTTTCCGCCACCCACGGCACTCTCACCCACTCCAACTCCTCTCCCTCCTCTCCTGCTTCCACCCGCGCTCCCTGCGGCCGCCCTCGAAATTGCAGGCCTCCCTCCTCCTCGTCGCCCTCCTCTTCCCCTATCGACTCCTGTCTCTGCTGGAGGATGATGGTGAACAGGCCCCAGTCCGTGTGAGGGCTCGAGCCCAGTGCCCTAGAGGGGGGGATGGACGGAGGGAGGGAAGAGGACGACATGTAGTGGAAGGCACGCAGGAGGGAGATGCGTTCCCCACCCTCCCCGCACACTGCTTCTAGCCAGCCTTCCTCCCTGCCCAGGGCGAGAGAGAGGGCCCGGGAAAGGGCCCGGCTGAGGGCGATCATGTCCACAAAGAAAGCTTGCATCTCTTCTCTCCAGGCCGTCCCTCCTTTCCCGGTCCCGCCCCCCCGGAGGGCAGCGAGGGCAGTGGAGGATGTAGGCCAGACATTGGGACCTTCCAATGGGTTTTGAGGGGAGGGCGAGAGCGAGCTGGCTCTCCTTGTCGCGACATCAGCTCTCTCCCTCTGACCCCAGGCGGCACCGGCCGAAGGGTCCCTCGCCCCTTCGCTGCTCCCCTCTTCCCCTCCGTCGGCAGACTCGTAACCCATGCTGAAGCCCTCCTTCCACTCGACAAATTGTCCCTTTAACCCGCTTTCCCCCAAGACAGGAATGTAGCCGCGTGAAAAGCCTTGCGAGTGAAGGGAGGGCAGGGCCTCTTTCTCTTGCAGGGGCAGAGCGAAGAAGGAAGCGATGGCATCCAAGACGCGAGGATACGATGAAAGTCTTCGACGGTTAATAGGCCCGCATGCCTTCATGCACGTGTGATCAATTGCTTCTTTGCTGTCGTCCGTCTCCGCTGCCACATGTTTCTCCGTTGAGCGGTTGGATGACCTCGATTTCCCCGCACCGCCACTTGTTGTTCCTATATCAAAGCTAGGGGCGGGTCCTGCGACTCTTAGAACATCTCGTGTCCGAACCCATCCTCTATAATCTAGGAGAAAGAGACCATCGGTCTCGCAGGCCTGACGAATGGCCTGCGCAGCTGCGAGCTTCGCACCCTCACTGGGCGAGGAATTAGGCAGGAACGGGACGAGATCTACCCGAATAGGTGTCCATACTGAGGAGGTTATGCTTGAAGCGGTGGATGGATTCATTAGAAAAGGAGCGCCTGCATTTCTATTTGTTAAAACGAAATAGAAGGCACCGTAGGAAAAATCGCAGATAACGCCGGGTCGCCACGATAAGATCCGATAGCTCACGCCGTGGTTGAGGCACCTTCCACTGCGAGGTGTCCAAAAGGCACCGAACCTTTTCTCAATGTAGAAAAAGGGGGTCAGGGGTTGTTTAAGCGTCTAACAGTACGTCATGATGAACGAGAATGGATGGGAAGGCCTCTCCGTACTTGCGAACAACTGAAGGACACATTTCTCGCCGATAACTTGGTGTACTTGGAGTCTGATGGGCCGGGCGGCGGGCTTAAAGGTATGAGAAGAGTAAGGAAAGCACTATCGAGTGGAGGCAGGAATGAGTCTAAACAACAACTAATCTGCACAATATATTAGAAAAGTTATATTGTAAGCATAGTCCATCCTGTTCCTTGTCCTGGCTCCCTCATCCCTAACTACGTGTTCTTTGCCTTGCTCTTGGAGTCGCGTCGGCAGGACCACTGCGTCGTCTCGCTGCTCCCATCAGCCTCTGCCGCCTTCCGCGATCCCTTCCCCTTATTGTCCTCAATGCACTCATAATGATACCCATTTTTGAAGCCGCCGCACTCCACCATCCCCCTCTCCTCCTCAGGGTCATACGCTGTCTCGCAGTAGCAGAAAGCCTTTCCTACTGCTCCTCCTCACCCCCTCCAACCCCCTGAGCCCCATCCCCTTCAGCAGCTGCAGCCACATCAGCCTCCTACTCCTGCTCCCTCTCCTGCTCCATCTCCTTCCCTTCCCGCTGCACCCCCGCGCTGGCCCCAACGGCCCAACCACCCGCTGCGCCCGCCGCCGCCGCGTCCTCGTCGCTGTGCTCCCCGCCGTCCCGGCCTGCATCCTCTGGCTCGAAGAACGACGCGAAAAGCTACGCCTTTCTATCCTCGTGCATTCCATCCACTCCTCCTCCGTCCGCCTCCTCCATCTCCTTGCTGCTCGCGTTCTCGCTGCTGTCGTCACTCCTGCTGCTACCGCCACCGCCAGCGCCCTTCCCCTCCCCCCCCCGCCACTCAAGAGTGCTTCGTGGCCCTCCCACACCCTCTGGGTCCGCTTCACCTGCAGCCGGCCCACCGTCGCCTCCATCGCCGCCACGCGCTGGTACCACCGCTGCTTCATAGCCGCCTCGGTCTCCCTCGACTTCTTCTGGAACCTGCCGAAGGAGTAGCCTTTCTCCATGCACGTGTCGCAGCGCGGCCGCACATTGTCCGTCGCATCTTATTGAATCTGGTCTTGACCTTGTTATATTACGTTGTAGGCATTCCTTCGACTGCAGTCTTACTGTTGCCCTGGCTGCGCACTACCATCCCACCATACATCGCAGGGGCAGCTAGACCTCTTTCCAGTGTCTCTGTGCTGGCGAGCTCGTTAGACTTGAGGCGCTACAAGCCGCCCAACGTCGTAAAAGGTGCTCCGGATGACATAGGATGCCTCATCGGGGGAAAAGGCCGACAGAACATTGATGCAGGGTCGGCGACGGGAGAATGACACATTAGGTTTACTACCTTTTCAAACACAGGGAGAGCGAGGTTACGGAGGTCTTTGATAAGTCGTGCTATTTGTCGAAACCAGTCAAAGCTAACATAGGTATCTTATTGCCATTTGGGCAGCTACGATGCGTAACAGCACGACATTCGATCCTTAGCGAAGCGTATTAGAGGAAGATGAGACATAGAGACTTGTTGAACACTAAACAGCGTTCAAATTTAACGGTAGAAATTCTTAATTTAATCGAAATTTCAATTTCAATCTGTGCGTTATGAGTCACAACATGCTTGTCATCCCATTAAAGAGGCAGACCAGAGAATCTCACAATTAGTGGCGGATTTTGAGGCGTCAATCGTCCGACTCCTAATTTTACAACAAGAATTTTGCCAATAAACATGGAGTCGATTTCTCAAGTTGCAAGCCGCACGCGAGAAAAACAACAAGTCATGTCCTTCAGTCCGCTAAGAAAGCGTACCTACTATGCGGGTACATCGGCAGTCCTGTCTGGACTAGGGACTTCGGAGAAATTCTCAATTTAATCGAAATTTTAATTTCAATCTGTGCGATATTAGTCATAGCATG